GGGAGTCACAACAAGGCAAAAATAAAGAAAAGAACACGGAATAAGATACAATGAAAAATCAGCACATTGTAAACTGTAATAAAACAACATGCAACTAAATGGCATACAAACTATTAAAGCATGACTTAGGCCATGTTGATTTGATTGTATGGATGACATCCTCTGGGAACCCCAAAACTGATGCGAGCGCGCGAATAAAAAAAAAGTTTTAGCAAAAAAAAAAAAGTTAGCTTTCCTGAAATCTACGTTGTTATGGAGGTCGAACAAATGACACAGAGTATGGTATGGCGAATAATCTACTCTTTAAATTCATTTCTTTGCATTTTAGTTTTTTGTTTGATTTTGGCATTCTACGACGTTGGAATTGTTTTCAAATATTTTTTTTTGCAACTTTCGGTATATATTTGCTCATTTTGCAACTGTTTTGTACAATTTCCAGTGTGGTTGGAAACTTTCTTTTTTTTTTGGAAACGGCCGAAAATTCATGTGCGCACGGATGTCATCCATATAATCAAATCAACATGGCCTTATAATCATACAATTAAATATTTTGTTACATGTTGAAAGAATGAAATATACCTGAAGAGCAAAAATGTTCTGGAAGTCCTGCAGTTTCTCTTCATAGTCCAGTAGGTTTGCTGTGTCCTCTGTGGGTGTTAAGAAAAAACAGAACGTAATATGTAAAAAAGGTCAGGGTTGAAAATACCACCTGCATATCATGCAGTTTAGTGCAGGTATTTCTGATGTCTACATGTACCTGCACTGGCCCATGTACTGGGTTTATATACAAGTATAAAAAAACGAAAGAAATAATAGCAAGGGTTTCTGAACAGTTTTAGCATAATCCACACTTCCTAAATTCTGAGTGCAGGTAAAATTTATCTGGTGCAGGTTAATTTTCAAGGTACATGAAAAGGTATGTGTATGTACATAAAAGTATTTTGAGCCCTGAAAAAATTACCCAGATAACTTACAAAATGTAAATGTATTACCACTATCACCAAATTCATAATTGTCCTGATGAAGATGACAGTCATCGAGACGTTGGCTCTTGTTGAACAAGTTTAGCTTTTCAAGAACTCATGAAAACATCAGAATGTAGCAGGGGTTTTTCTAAACAGGGGAATAAGGGAGCTGCTCCCTCATGTGACCAGCCAGCTCTCTCATATCAATTTTGAAATTGAATTGATGTTCTCAAATCGATCTTTTTCCAGTAAAGATGTAAAAACAATACAACGATGCATTCTAGCAATACAAACTGTGTTACTCTTATTTAAAAAATCCCCCTCGGTCACTTCGCTCCCTCACCATGCTTGCGATCTGCTCCCTCATGCTAAATTTTTTCTAGAAAAACCCCTGTGTAGTACCTTCCATATCTGCCAGGTGCTTGAGTGCCAACAAAGCTGCTTCCACAGCTGTCATCTGGTTCTTCTTGTGCACCTGGGGTACAATCAGGATGGTCACATTCTCAAGGAATATGCAAATTAAAGAAAGTCTCAAAGAATTTGTATATTATGAGCTTATCCAACTCATTTAATGGAAGACCTATATGTATAGTTGGCAGAATCTATTGCACCTGTGCAAAAACCAGATTTTTCAAGTTTTTTTGTTGGATGTTTGGTCAACATTAGGGTGTTGCCGTTGCAGACAATATCTTTTCTGACACCACATTTGAAAACTATGGACGGGAATTCATCCTTAGGCCACACCAATTTAATTTGTTGGTTCTCGGATTTTTCAGAAAAATATGAAGTGACAGGGCGAAAAAAAAAAAAATAAAACAGGTCTAGGCATCCTATTATAAGCTTAAATGCTATGAAATGAGCCATGAAGTCAACACAAAAGGCTGGGTTAAAATTTAAACATTGAATTTTGAACTTTTAATCAAACCACTGCAATGATAGATGGGAAAACTGTAACAACTAGGAAGAAAAGGACTTTCCTCAATTGTTTGGGGCAAAACATGAGCATTTTTCAGTTGATTCAGAACCAGAATCAATTTTTTTTTTTTACAAATCAGAAAAAAACGAAGAGGCAAATCCGAGAACTAACAAATTAAATTGGTGTGGCCTTAAAGATGCAAATACAACCTTAAACTAGAGGTTCTGATAAAATGCTATGCATAAAACATTACAGGTTTTCCACAGGCATACTACATCATGTTAACATACTCCCACATGTACATACATGTATTGTTGTGGTTAAAAGTACGAAGTAGGGTTTTGTTTGCCACATAATTTTAAAATTGACTCCAGGCAGTACAGCAAATAGAAGCAATTCACGTAGAATTTCACTTTGAAAGCATGAACAGCTTACATACACTTTAGACATCACTTTAGAAATCAGTTCGTCTTTCAAGGACATTTTACCTCCTCATCAGTAATGATGGAGTCCTGTAGGGTAAGTTCTGCCCAGATGGCTATCTTCCTCACACACACCTCCACTTCTTCCTTAGGGAGAGACTTCAGGAGTGTCATGCACTCTGACAGCTGGAGAAACAGGGACAAGAAATCAGACATTTCGGGGAAAGGTTTGGGGTTTCAGTGAATGTGTTGGATTTATGTAAATGATGAGGAAATACCAAATTGAATTACATCATAGGATTAAAATTTATTTTATGTATTTCATACCTTGAATACTCAGTACAGATTCATCATACCACATCCTACCACCCAGGGTACACTGGGTCACAACCCTGCCAATCAATAGAAATCCAATCTCTGCCCCCTTGAACATTGAGCATGCCTACAAGTTGTACAACCATACATCAAAATTGATACTAGCACAATGCTTGCCATGGGGTGCAGCATAATGATGATCATCAAATCAGTACATTACCTACTCCGGTAGTACAAGACTTGACTGGGACAGGGCAATCAATTACATCTCACCAGACTTACCCTATTCTGCTGGATGAGGAAGTGGATTCTGATATTGTAGGCATCTGTCTTCTTCAGGTGATCTGGGTAGGCCTCAACCACCTAGAAATGTGCGTTGCAGATAAAACAAGAAATCATAGATGATATACTTTATGCAAGTTTTCTTATTTTAATTAAAATTATTGATATGGATAATTTCTTACTGATTCTGTGTAAGCATCTTCCCGCAGGCTCCCATGAGGCAACAGACATGCATATAGCCAGAAAATGAAAACTGGAATATTAAGATAACCTTTTCTGGGACAATTCTGGGACCTTTGAACTAACTTCCTGTCAGTGTTCTAGACATGTCTAGCATGTTGAAATAACCAGGGAAACACATGCAAACTCACAAACAGACGTACCAAAAACAATACCTCCATGTATTCAAATTTCAAGAGTACTTTCAAAGTTACATGTACAAGTTACAAGTTCTGCTAGATATAAGAATATCAAAATAATATGAAACAGGTCATGCTAAAAATACCTGTAGAGCATCCTGCATGACAGTAGGCTGGTCCTTGTACAGGATGTACTTCAGCAATGCCTGGACAAAAACATATAAAGTAATGAAGACTTTTCCAAGGACTAACAGAGCTATATATCTGACTTTCACGTCAACAACATGTCTATCAATAACAGTAAGTTTTTCAGCACTAAGGTCAGTGATAACAGGACAACAAGGTGACTCACAAAGGTGACAAAGTGAAGAAAATGTGGTCTTAAAAACACAGAGTTTTTGCAATATCAAAAAGAAATATGTATGTATGAGCGTAAGACACAAGCTACAAAATAATCAAATACAGAAAAATTCTGTCAGGGTATCTGCTTTTTTACGTCTCTTTGAAATGGTACCCTGCATTTACCCCGAAAACCAAACGGAACCCGTGAAAAACAATGTTTTCCACAGGCCCATTGCATTCTACCGACATGCTGCAAACCCTATTTATGATTGCAATCCACAACACCTGTGTATGAAGGTCCTAGTGTAAGTGTGAATGTGATTCAGCACTAGGGACAGCACCATCTGATTATTACAATGTTGGTAATGGTTTTTCTTAAGGCTAAGGAATCATAGTACCAACATGGAGACGGCATAAGTGTCTCATACACTTACCGGTGCAGTGGTAAACTCTGACACATTGTAGTTCCTGAGGGCATAGTTTGCCAGCATCTTTCTCAGGTTGATCATGCTGTATCTGTGTTGAAGTTCAGATGCCCTACAGAAGAACAATGTCACTCTTGTATAATGTTAAAGCAATTAATCATTTGTAGTGTTTTTTTCACTGTCTGGGATGCTGACAGGAAGTTAGGTCAGAGGTCCCAGAAAGGTTTATCTCATTTTCTATCAATCAATTTCTACTGCATTATGCGAACAAGTGGAAAATGCAGGCCAACGATGAATAAATCAAGAAATTCAAAAAAATTCTAAATATTTCATGGAGGTTTGAGATCTATGATTTGTTTTTGGAATGCTCTGTTTTGCAGGGCTCGAAATTAATTCTTCTAAAATATTGGGTGCACAAAAATATTTTTGGGTGCACCATATATAAATAAAATAAGTAGAGTGTTAGCAAAAACTAACATGTTTCATATCTAAAGCAAAGTAATACTACAATAATTCTATTATTTGTCTGACACTTACAATTTAAGAATATGCTTTATACCACTATACATTTAACATTTTTACATTATGTAAACATATGAAAATATTTGGGTGCACTGGTGCACCCACAGAAAAAAAATTGGGTACACAGCTCCAAATTTGGGTGCACGAAGGTGCGCATGCACCCAGTATTTCCAGCCCTGGTTTTGTCTTACCTTGGGTGCTTCCATTTCAGTGCTTCGGTGACAAAAGTTTCCATGGCCTGGCTCCAGGGGATGACTGCCTTGTTCATCAGCAGTAAGGTGCCTTCATACTTACACTGTAGTCAACAGAAATAGAAAAGATTAACACCCCGTTCACAGTGAAACTTGTCGATCCGGATCGGCCGCCGATCGGGATCAAAATTATGCAAATGAAGTCAATCCAGATCGGTTTTCGCAGTGTGAACGCTCCAATCGGGATTGATTTTCTCCGATCCTGATCCAAGCGTAATCCACCTCGGGGAGGTAGTTCAAGACACTTGCGGCGGATCGGGATCGGGCGTAAACTTGAGTGTGAACGCGAAGTGGATTGGGTTCGGGGTTCGCTAGTGTGAGACTGACCACAAATACTACCGCTACCGATCGGGTCTTATAATATGCAGTGACAAGGACGTTGTGTAATGCTATGGATACATTGCCAATCAAAATTATAAATAGAAAATATGCAGAAAGATGTTTACCCCAACCTCCCTGCCCCAACGTTACACTCAAGTGGAATGGCGAGCCAGTGGAATCGAGTGTTACAGCCCGAAAAATATCGGCCTTCACGCAACGGGAGCTAAACCCTGACCACCCAAACATGTTCAAAGAGGTGTTCTCTTTATTTCCGCTAAGATTCCAGGCTGTATAAGCTTTCTGAGTTCTTTTCTTGCAAAATTTACGGCGGAGTTGCAGCGGCTATGGCATGTTCAAGATGGCGGGCTCGTGACACCTCAATCCATTTCTGAGCGTGATGCCCTGGCAATACGGATCAGCAAAAAGCAGTGTGAACGCGCGGGTCGATCGGGATTGATGAATTTCTGATCGGGATCGGCAGTCAATCCAGATCCATTTTTTCACTGTGAATAGGGTCTTAGACAGAGGTTTGCCCGCTTCATGTAGGAATAAAACTACATGCTTTGATGAAGGTTAGCCATCCAGGTAAACAAAACTCATGGGAAATTCAAACTCTACTGCATAAATCATGGAGATGATATCCAGACGTTTCGCATGACATCCACCACTCTTCTTCAGCGTCACTAATGAACTAACAGAATTCGATAAAGCATATATGAGCAACTGGAAAAAAAACAGTTGAACATGACAAAGGTCCATAAGGCCACACCAATTTAATTTCTTGGTTAACGGATTTTTCTAGAAAAATAATGGAGCGGGCGGGCGAAAAAAATAAAAAATAAAAACAGGCCTAGGCATCCTATTATGGCCCAAAATGGTACGATAGGAGCCATGAAGTCAACACACCAGGCTGGTTCAAAATTTAAACAATGAATTTTGAACTTTTAATGATACCACTCCATTGGAAGATGGAATAACTGTAACAACTAGGAAGAAAAGGACTGTTTTCAACTGTTCAGGGCAAAATATAAGCATTTTGAAGTTGATTCTGAATTTTTATTTTTATTTTCAAATCAGAAAAAAATGAAGCGGGCGAATCCGTTAACCAAGAAATTAAATTGGTGTGGCCTAAGGTCATGGATATGTAAAGTACATAGGGTAGATCCTATGGTTAGACAACACCACAGGAACCGCTAATGTCCTTTAGGTTGTGGCAGGGCGGGGTTCATGTACATGTGTATTAGAGAGGTCTACACGCAGTCCTCCCTTCCAGTTTAAAGTGGTGTCGTAGATCTGTTCGTTGATGGCCTCCTGGACACCGCGTTCATACCATAGCAGTGTTCGAAATACCTGTCTGCAGTCTGCAATCTGCAGATAGATTTTCAAGATTGCAGAAGAAAAATTTATACAATCTGCAATTTTGCAGCAGGAAAAATTGGCACTTGGGATTTGGCGCTCTTGGCCCCAACGACAGACAACACTTAAGCTCCTGTTCTGAAACAACACAGGAGCTTCTTCACTAATTTGCATCAACCTTGTCTTGAATTGTCTATCTTTTGTTTCTTTTTGGACTTCTAAAAATTTGTCTTCACTAATTTGCATATCAATCAATAGTTCATGCTTATAAACCTGCAAGATTGTAGTATGGAGGCTTGTGTATTTGCAGAAAGTATTTCCAAATTGCAGAACAAAATTTTGACTCTTCTGCAATATTGCAGAGCGCTGAAAAAAAGTATTTCGACCACTGTAACTGTGTTACACTAGTTGTGTATCTATTATAGTTTGTAAGGTTCCTCACCTCCATGTCCTTCATACAGTGTACACAGGTGATGGCCTTGACTTCCCATGATGCCTCCAGCTGGTAGGAGGCCCTGCTACTGCACTGTTCAAGTAGGTCCTGGAAGGGGGGGGGGGATCAAAAGTTATCACAGTCAACTATAAGTATAACTCTAAATTGTAATGGCCTGCAAGGATGTTGATTCAGGGTAGCCTCCGTAGCAGGCTTATAGAACTGGGGGTTTGGTGGTCTTTGGCTCTTTTCTGATTAGCCCAGTTCTAAAATGGGGGTAATTCAATCAGGCCGGCTACAATGTATGTTGTCTATATCAGTATATGCAATCAGAAAATAGCACATAAAAGCTTCCAAAGACCCAGAAGACCCCCAAAACCCCCGTTTTTGGCATGCTATGGAGGCTAGATTCAGACTCATATGTGCTGAGTGCTAAGCAGAGAAAGAAGTGTGTACCATTTTTAAAGTCTTTGGTATGACCTGGCCGGGGTTTGAACTCACGACCTCCCGGTTACAAAGCAAGCACTCTACCCTATTGAGCTATTGCACTGGTTACAATTAAGATGATGAAAAAAAAATCAAGCTGGTTGGAACACCGGTCGGTAGGCTCACCTGGATGTACTGTAGCAGAACTTTGTCCTCTTCTAGCCCGTGGTCCTTCATGTAGGGTCGTACCATCTTGTCTATGGTGGCGGGGATGAGCTCTGGTGCCACCACACGGTCCAGCATACGGAAGGTGATAGAGGTGGTGGTTTCCTAAAACACACAGTTACCTGTCTTAACGCTTGCATTCAAGTAATTCAACCCACTTCATACTCAGGGCTTGAAACTAATCTTAGATTTTTCCAATTGAAGTACATTTGTACCTGGCATTGAGCATTCCCATCTAAAAATCTATCCACGTAGACCAGATTTAATTAGGCTAATGAGTACGGTAGTTTTCTTGGGCAATTTTGACTGTATTCTAAGGCCACACCAATTTAATTTGTTGTTTCTCGAATTTTTTTCAGAAAAAAATATGAAGCGACAGGGTGAAAAAAACAAAAACAGGCCAAGGCACCCCATCATAGCCGGAAATGTTACGATATGAGCCATGAAGTAAACATACCAGGCTGGTTTATAATTAAAACAATAGATTTTGAATTTTTGATGAAACAAAGTTGAATTGTTACATTGAAAAACTTTAACAATTAGGAAGAAAAGGACTTTCTTCAACCGCTGGGGCCAAAATATGTCTTTCATTGAGCATTTTGCAGTTGATTTACAACAAAAAAAATTTTTTTTTTTCAAATCAGAAAAAAATGGACAGAGCGAATCGGAGAAACAACAACTGTGAAAAAAGAGTATGATTGTAAGGGCGCACCTGGCAGTACTCTGACAGGGAGATTTTGAAGTTGCACCTGTCGTGCAGGATCAGCAGGTGCTGTAGGTGCTGGATGAGGGTGTTCAGGCTGGACTCGGCTTCACTGATCCCGTGTTCACACTGAAAACAGATAAACAAACTTTTAGATAAATAAAAACATCAGATTCTGATTACTAGTATTCCAAACATCTGCAGCATCAATGAGAATAAAGTGGCATAAAGGTTTGTAAACTACCACTACTTTCACATTGTGTTTTGACATAAAAATCAAATAAAAAACGCGTACACTACCTAAATCCTTGACAAAATTGACAGACAAAATTGCGACCAATCTTAAAACAACCTGGAGGATTCTATCAACTGACCATCACTTGAAAAAAGTGACCTCAAACCAGTTTTAGCTCAGATAAACTAAAGAAGAGTTTAGCTAGTCTTCAACTGGTTGTGACAGAAAAGACAGATGCAATGTATGTAGTATATTATATCTACTTATTAGGTTCAGTGTGCTGCAGCCCTTTTCATAAAAATCAATTAAAATGATAAGTTCGGGCTTTGAACTCGGGACTTCTTGGTCCAGAGGCAGGGCCACTAACCACAAGACTACTTGTACATGTACAGTGTACTAGTATGTACTATGTTACCACAATACTACATGTATGATGTAGAAAGTTTAGTACTGTTACCTGGGTGACCAGTTGTGCAGGAGTCAGCAACATTTTGCCATTCTCCCACTCGGCCTCCCTCCCTCCCACCTTCACCATTAACTCAGCCATGGCTAGTCCATTCTCAGGCCAGCCAGCCTACGGGAGGCAAAAATACTCAGTTACTGGGCTTGAAATGCTTTAATTTCTCTGTGTACCTGCATTGGTAGAAATTACCTGCACCAGACAAATTTTACCTGCACAGAATTTCGGAAGTACAAATTTGTTACTTAAACTTAGGGCTCTCCCCAAGCAATGAAGCAAGGGTGTTCCCCCTCTACCCAAGATCCTATTCCTAGCATCCCTCCCAAAATGCTCAAATTTAGGGTTTTCTCTTTGCATTTTCATGGAAATTTGCTGATTTTTCATCAACCGGTTTTGGAGCTCATCTAAGAATTTAGAGAGACCCCTGAAACTTTTTCTTTTGTACTTCTAGTTGGTAACAGTCACCAGCATTTACATGTATATGTATACATATTTTCATGCAGTACATGGACCAGTACAGGTAGACATCGATCAGAAATACGAGTGCACAGCTCCAATTTTATGTGCCCTAGCCTGCATATGCAGGTGGTGTTTTAACATAGTGTCATACATGTACCTTTTCTGAAAGTTCCAGATTTCGGGTCCTCTGATCCAACCACTGGGCAAGTACAGCCTGAAAAAACAACAGAAATGTGGTTTTACATGTACAATGTACTTTGGCAGCTCATAAGGGACTCAAGTATAATTCTGTTACCACATGTCCTGTACTAATCCATTCAAAATGGACAGTACAATTAATGTATTCTTCAAAGCAATGATTGCATGTGACTATGAAGAAGCGATCATATCAACAATGATGTCATTGATAAAAATACAACTAGTGGCTCTTCTTAAATACAGGAACTCTGGCTTTACATCCCATCCAAGAGGACATCCCTAACAGAAGTTTGCTACTCATCTTCACCTGAGTTGAGTGAGGAAATAGGTGTAAAGTGCCTTTTTCCCAAGGACACAACAGTGGGGCCTGCCAGGGATTCAAACCCAGCACCTCCGGATTCTGAGTCAACAAGTTTACAACACTAACTACATGTACAACATCACCTTGCCACCTGTGTACCAGTTATGCAAAACAAACAGTTAAAGGCATCCAATGCAATTTTAGGGCAGCAAAATTGGAAATTTCCTTAATGAGGCAATCTGCATGATATTGACACATACTGTTCCACATTTAGCACATTGGAATCAGTATAATCATAGTTCATACTCTAGGTATTTAAAACTGTAGAAACAAGCCCCAAGATTAGTGTTTTATTTTCTGGGTGGTACCCTAAAAATCCATCCAAGTCCTTTCAGTAACCGTTTTTTTGTCAGAATTTTTGCTCCATGTTTCAACTTCCTAGAGTACTTCAAGTGCCTAGATAAGTGACTAGAATATTGATTTTGAAAAAACTTGGTTTCCAAGCCCTAAAACTGCACTGGATGCCTGTAAGTCTGTGTATCTCACCCTTCCTTCTGGGAGGACCCTGAGTACAAAGGGTACGAAGTCTCCCCTGAGCCAAGGCAGGATGTGATCAGACAGCACGTTGTCAGTGATGGACTGTAGGACTTTCTTCAACCACCCCACCGTAAACCTGGCTTCAAACTCCGCCTGATATAGCAAAGGGAAAATAACACTGTCAACACTACATAATGTAGGTGAAAACTAAATTCAGAACAAGTGGCTAAAATCCCAATATCAATACAAATTATAAATACAGCAAATAACAATGATTTTCATCATACCAAACTGAACTGACAACCATGAACATTACATGAAAGAGGTTTTATGAGAGGGAGAATGTAACTTACCTGATGTCTACACCAGATAGCTGCTGCCTGCTGTACATCTGTCCTCCTGAAGCCTTCACACACTTCCACCAGTAGGTCTGCCTTCATGAACTCATACCACTGGGTAGCACTACAAATGTACATGTGCATATTCACCGGCCGGCATAAGAAGCTTTGTAGTACACTTCAAGATATGTATTCAGTACAGTTTGCCCACATAAACAACAAACACCATCATGTTCGTTTACTCTGGCCACACCAATTTCATTTGTTGGTTCTTGGATTTTTTCAGAAAAAGTATGAAGCAACAGGGAGAAAAAAATAAAATAAAAACAGGTCTAGGCATGCTATAATATAGCCCCAAATGCTACAAATGAAGTCAAAGTCTTTGTTAATAGTTCTCAATGAATTTTAAACTTTTAATGAAACCACTGCATCGATACATGTAGATGGAAAAACTGTTACAGTAACAACTAGGAAGAAAATGAGTTTCCTCAACTGCTGGGGCAAAATATGAGCATATTTGAATTTTTTTTTTGCAAATCAGAAAAAATTGAAGAGGCGAATCTGTGAACCAACAAATTAAATCGATGTAGCCTTATGTTATGTACTTTTTTAAATTTCATTTCTTGATTGTAAATAATAATGCTACTAAAGGCTCAAGGCTTTACGTACATGTCTGCTATGTTGGTAATGGTATGGGAATAAGAAAAAAGTATCAATGTCATATACACGTACCTGAATAGCTGTGGCCCAAACACCACCTGGAATGTGCCAAGTCTATGGAGAGCTTCAAGCACCTATAGAGACAAGAGGAGTCAACTCGTTCAATCTACGGCAATGCCATTTTTGCACCAAACGATACGTTACACCCAATATAATCTTTGCACAGTCAATTGTTGTTTAAAGCTTTTTAGTGATGATGCTCCAACTATACTTGGTGGCAACGAGTTCCACTCTACGATAGTTCTTGGAAAACACAAGTTTTTGAAGACCTCAATTCTTGGTTGATAACTCTGATATTTGAAGGCATGACTGGTTCTTTTCTGGGCTGGTATCAGATTATAACTTTAGTGGTTAGTATGTCCACTAGTTTATTACATGTAGTTATTTTTTACATCATGGATAGTCTGGACATTTTTCATCTGTATTCAAGTTCTTCTCTGTTAACCTTGATATACATGTACATGCAGCCAGTTAAGACCTTATATCAAGCCTTTAAGGCTACAAGAGTAGTGTATTAACCTTTGTTTGCCAGGCAGCACGAGAAATCAGTTCCTCTTCTGACAGCACTGCATCGCCACCCTTCTTGTTCACCTACATGTAGGGAAGATACACTATGTAAACCTCTGGACTTGAATCCAGACCTGGAACTGAACATGGGTTTAAGCACACAGCACTATGGACAACGGACAGGCGTTGGCTGACTCACCCGTCCTTCTGCGTACGTGAGCAGCTCGTGAGTGGCCTGCATGGTGGGCAGGGTGGCCTGAACACAGATGTCTGCAACACAACCATTGTCCTGGGAACAGGAGGTACAGAAAATTAGCAACATGGCCTCCAGAACTGCTTGTCAATGTCACTCATTGCAGAAACTTCAAAAAGAAGTTCTTGTCCTATAATTTGTTTCTGTTTCCGTATTATGTATGTTAAATACTAAAGACAACTGAAGCTGTGACAATGAAATATCAGACTCCTATGTTAAAGTTTGGCCTGCAGTTTTGCAGAATATCTGTAATCCAGGGGCTGACCTTAATAAGCCAGTTCACACTTTAAAATGCGCATGAACAGTGTAATTTGTAAGGCCCCTCAGAGACAAAACAAACAAATTAAGCATGTAGTCGAGACAAGAACTGTTTACAAGTTCTTCGCGTCTGTGATCTTGAGCGTGCACAGTTTAACCCTGAACAGGCTTGTTAGAAGTCTCCTAGTTAGAAAACTTGAGTCTACTCACACTGATGTGACTGAGACAGTCCTTCAGGTCAGCAAAGATCTGCTCTGTCGTCTGTCCGTCCTTCTGTGGTTGTGTCCAAGGGTCTGTCTGTGTCAGGATGTCCTGAGCCTTGACTTTGTACACCAGCTGAAAAGGAGAAATGATGAAAGAAAAAATAAAGACTGTCCTTGATATTAGAGTTTTCTTTTACACAACCAGTAAAGACTCTTACACAACCATTAAAGACATTGCTCAGCAGGCCTCAAAATTAACTTTTCTTCCTATTGTCCCAGCACTGTCCCAAAAAATAAATTTCAACTGTCCCGAAGTGAGGATGAACTTTCCCAACCTGTTTTTTGGAAGTATTGTATGACTTGAGGGGACTTTTCCAGAGCCAAAAGCCAGTATGTGTGCCTGGTAAACAAAAGAAGGGCTGACATTCTGTGGTTGATTATTTTTCTATTGTCCCAAAAATGTCCCAAATTGTCTTTACAGTTGTCCCAGCCTAAATTTTAGTGGTCAGTGGCCATAGGGATACCGTTAATTTCGAGCCCTGCTGAGGTGGAAATGAGTATGCCAGAATAATTATCATCATGATCGTGGGCATTAAGGGAAAACGAAACACTCTTACCTCCACATCAAGCTCGTAAGTGTCTGCAAACTTGAGTGCCTCCTGGTACTGTTTCTTGTGCAGCAGGCGGTGGAACCGGGTGTCAGGCAGCGACTCTGTCAGACAGCGGACTCTCAGGGTGGAAACTAAGCCATCTGATGTGCTGAAAAATATGTCACATTCAACCAATGAAAAACCAGAAAGACTTTACACATTCTTTAGAGTATTTAGAGAAGGAATTTCTTGTTCTATTCATTATGGTGAACTTCTTCGTGAACTGACTGGTGTTTGCTGGTACAAATGTACTATGGATATTCCACTGTTACTTCCTCCCAGCCTCCAATTTGACCTTCCTGTCATTCTGTGGTTACACCATTCCACACTTGCTGTAACTCTATTTACATAACTCTATTCACATAGCTACAGACACACAGGAGAACAAACTTAAAACCTTCGTAAACAGGGGTGAAAAAGGGAGTCTGAATGTGACGTCAACAATGAGGAAAAGAGTCCACAGCATCTGAACAAGTTGAAGAAGCATTTTGATAACATACCTTGTTTCTTCAATGTCATCCCTGTGTGCACCCTCAATGACAAAAATTGTCTCCTGCAAAACATTCAACATCAAGATGACATTTAAAAAGTACATGTAATTCCCATGCCAATTATTATACATGTAAATCTTGAAAAGTTTACAGTCTTATTTCTGTGTTTTTTTGTGGTGCCTCAAATAACAGCTGGTGAATTGAGCTGCTTCAAGTTGACTTACCTGGCTGGCAGGTGCACACACCAGAGCTGCCACCTGGTTCAGCTCCAGACTGTAGGCCAGCTGCATACCTGGGAGGGAATGCACCTGCAGGTGGCACTTCTACAGGCAGAAAAGCAGGTGCTCTGATGATTACCTAATAGTATTATACATTGTCTATGTACTGCATAAATCCATAATTCACAAAACATTGTACAATTCTGCAAAGTCTTCTCTTAGTAGTGGTGCATACCGGTTCACTGGACTTGGATCCGGACTTGTAAAAATGTTTAGGTTCAAGTCCAAAAAAACCTAAAAGTCAAGAACCGAGTCCGGACTTATTACCATGAAAGACCATTTCACATACCCCTTTTCTTTCCAATCCACCTAAAACCTTCCAAAATCTTTGCTGCAAAATGAAGAAAACATAATCAAGCCATTGGGCATTGTCAAGTACCGGCCTCCATGTTATGTGGCCAAAGTTTCACCCAGACAACATTGCAAGGTTGCCAACATGCAATTTTGTATATGCCATGGGTTTAGGTCCGGACTTACAAGTCCGAAACTGAACCTATTAACCTCTGGACTTGAATCCGGACCTGAACCTAAATGTTGGTTTAGGTATGCACCACTATCTCTTAGTTGTCTTATTTCAGTAACAATTTTGTAAATGTCCTATTTAGTCATTTTATGACAGTAATACAACTCACTCCGTCTTTGTTGGGCAGGGTCAGAAGCACAATCTTCAAACTGCTTTGGAGGTTTCTGTGACATTTCACATTTTCAAAGACAAATAGTTAGATAATCTTTTATATACATGAATACAGTCATGTACAATGTGCATTCAAAGATACATGTATTAACAACTGAATAAAAAGTGCTGCAGACTTCCAGCTCATCATCACAATCACCAAAAATCCCAATGTCAATGATTTCTATTCTAAATTTCTGAATTTTGGGCTGACTTTTTAAGACACAACATGAAAGTGCCACACACTTGACTAAGCTGGATAACCCTATGCATTTACCCATTTCATAAGACAAAGCCTTCAACTACTTTCTACACCACCGAATACTTCCTAATTTTCAAAGTGGAACAATCCATTTTCAGATAACTTTTCTTCAGACCTACATCAAAAGTTATGAAACTGCATGCAAGCGCCAGAGTGCAAGCACATCTAACCCTCGGAACACAGGGAACAACAGACGTTAAACCGGATAGAGAGGGTCATGATTTATCAGTCTCAAATTTTACTATAGGGCCACACCAAGTAAATTTTATGGATGACGTCCGCGCGCATTGATTTCGGCCTGTTCCTAGAAAAAAAACAAGAAATTCCGCTTCCTGTAACTATGACCAAAGAGTCACGACAGTGCCGCAAATTGTTAGATTGATGTGAAACCCGTAACGCGAAATGAGTAAAGAGCACAGTCATGCTTTGTTTTTGCAGGCCTGCAAAAATGTGAAAGAAACAGGACAGGACGACAACTGCTGTTCCACCTGATTTATTGCTGTTTTGATGATGAATAAAAGACTTCTTGCTTGTTAATCTGTGTCACCTCATTCAATTTGTGTCCTAACATTTGTCGTCTCTTAGTATATTTCTAATCTAGGCATCTTGTTTTTTAGGGCCATTCTTGATTTTTTTCGCCCTCTCGCATTAGATATAGGGTCTCCAAAGGACGTCATCCATAAGATTTACTTGGTGTGGCCTAGTATCATTTTCAGAATGCAGCTGTATCTGTATCTGTATAGCCGGTATTGGCCCTTGGCCTAACACACCAGCTACATGTACATGTACACATAGGTGAATCTCTGTCAGGAAAGAAGTTAGGTTTGCTCACGCATTTTTGCTTGGTGAATGCACACTGCTAGCGTCCATGATGAGGAAGTCCTGTACGGCCAGGCCAGGCCACTTGTTCAGCATGATGAGAGACTGAGCATCCCACTGACTCAGTACACCCTAACAACAGGGCAAACACAAGCAGTTAGGCCATGTTGATTTGATTATATGGATGACATCCGCGCGCGCATGAATTTTCGTCCGTTTCCAAAAAAAAAAGAAGTTTTCAACCATACTGTAAATCGTGTACAAAACAGTTGCAAAATGAGCAAAAATATACCATATTAGTTACAAAAAAAATTAATAAAAACTATACCAATGTAGTAGAATACCAAAATCAAACGAAAAAAGACGAAATTGTAAAGAAATGAACTTGAAGACTAGATTATTCGCCAAACCATATTCTGTGCCATTTGCTCAACCCTCATGACCACGTAGATTTCATAATGAAAAGAACTTTTTTTTTTTGCAAAACTTTTTTTTATTCGCACGCGCGCATCAGTTTAGGGCTCCCGGAGGATGACATCCATAAAATCAAATCAACATGGCCTTACAGTCAATAAGCTAGTTCACGATTTGAAGTGTGCATGCCTAGTGTGATGCATTGCATGTAATGGGCTTCAAAATGGGAACATGACTGTAGTCACTAGTTTGTATCTTTGAAAATCACAAAACATGTACATGAATAACCTCCCTTGAGCTCCTTGTTAAACTTAAAGCAAACAAAACAATTTTTCAATAAAATACATGAGAAAATAAAACATTTAAATTTTAACCCACCTTCTTTGTAAGCATGAACAGGAAATTATCCTTGAAGTCACACTTCACAACAGCAGAGCCTGGATCAAAGAGGAAAACAAAATAATATGACCAAGATGATCCTATCACAACTAACTTACAAAATGATAATTCTATGCAGCCACAATATATCAATTCAATTATTGATGACATGTACGATGTATTTGTAGGGCATGGGTACAACTACAATCATGAACAATTACATACCGGTACAAGGTGTATGTGAAATTTTATTTGCTGCATTGACTGTTAACTTACCACCTATGAAGCATAAAAGAAATAATAGCAATGGTTTCTGTACAGTCCTTACTATGATCCATACGTCTAAATTCTGAGTGGTGTAGGTAAAATTTGTCAGGTGCAGGTACTTTTACGTTAGTTGCACCAGTGCAGGTAAAATGTATTCTGAGCCCTGCAACCAATCATGTGCGTCGGTGATAATTAGATTACCTGCTAGAAGGGCGGAGTCAATGCCAGTCAAAAGTTCAGTGGTGTCTGCTTCCTCCCTACTCCAAACACAGATGCTGGAGTCACCTTGTCCCTGAAAACATTAGAGTTTTTAAAAGTGTCTGCTACAGCACCAATTGCCATGGTGACAGACATCTGTTGAGGTCATTAACCTTACGTGTTTCAAGACCAGTCATAGCACAAATTGATTGCCCTTGCCCGTAGTATTTTAAGCTACTATTTTCCTGTGACTCTATGCCCAATACTCTATAATTGCTGTTATCAACAGGGTGTAGTTCTAACACCTGCTGAAAGAGGGCATTTTTGTACCATGCATTGACTACTCTTGCACTGGGCAGCATGATATACTGAGCCTTCAAGGGTTGTGTTTTGCATACTGTAAATCATGAAATGCTCATGACAGTTTTATTTTCACAGCGATCTCTTCACTGGGAATTATACCACAAACATGTTATGACAGTAACTATCTTACTACAGAATAGTTTCAACGGCAAACTTAAAACCTACTTTCACAACAAGAAAAATAAATGTTACGGTAGTTACTGTCATACCAGTGTACATTCAGTAAATGTTATTTCAAGTTTATGCTGACTATTACTTTGCTAAGATTTGCTAACCACTGTAGTCACCTTTTAAACAAATGTTTTTTTGAAATTGTAAAAAGGCTTTAGGCCATGTTGATTTGATTATATGGTTGACATCCACGCGCGCATGAATTTTCGGCCGTTTCCAAAAAAAAAAAGAAGTTTTCAACCATACTCAGTCTGTAAATCGTACAAAACAGTTGCAAAATGAGCAAAAAATAAATATACCATAAGTTACAAAAACAATTAATAAAAACTATACCAATGTCGTAGAATGCCAAAATCAAACGAAAAAAGATGAAATTGTAAAGAAATGAACTTGAAGACTAGATTATTCGGCAAACCATATTCTGTGCCATTTGCTCGACCCTCATGACCACGTAGATTTCATAATGAAATTGAAATTAACTTTTTTTTTGCAAAACTTTTTTTTTATTCGCACGCGCGCATCAGTTTTGGGGCTCCCGGAGGATGTCATCCATATAATCAAATCAACATGGCCTTATTCAGTAGCAATACAATTCCTAATAAAATCTTGTATAGACTTAGCCCAAGTGTTTTGATTTTACTTCTGGAATCGATGAAATTAAATACAATGTACAAGATAAGATTTGTTTGAGACAATTTGTCATGTATCAAGAGACTATAATAATATAATATGAATAATATTGTTAGTTTTACCCCGGTAATGATGACTGTGTCACTCCCCCAGTTGTGGCATTTCAGACAGATGGTTCCCTCTGTATGTTCACTGCTGGTGTCCACAATTTCCAGCTGGATGCCATCCTTCAGCTGAAACATATTATATTAAGCTCATGTAAAAACCATCTTAAACTCCAGCCAATACTTAATTTGATTATTACACAAAGTATCAAGCATTTGGAGTGAGTTAGCAAGCATTATGAGGGATACATTTGAGAATTGGAACTATTTAACCCTTGTCCTGCTGGCATTCCTGGCACAATATTTTTCAATAATTTCATGTCTTAAATTAATTAGATCATAAGAAACCCAATTTTTTTTGCCCTGCGGTGGCACAGTTACTTCCGCATTTGTTGCGTTTCGCTGCGGTGTGATGCGTTGCACGAGAAATACCCCCAAATCGTATCTATACAGGGTGTTATATAGATGGTACTGTATGTGCCGCGCGACATATGTTGCGCACAGCAGGACAAGGGTTATTAAAAAGCACATAAAGATCAAGTACAGCTAATACCAGTTATAGAGCTGGCTTTGTGATCTTGCATATGCTATTTCTTTAGGGTTAAGGGCCCAGAGAAATACAGACAGTATGGCTCACCTTCTTAGCAGTAGCAAAGTCTTTGGTCTCCAGAGCTGTAGGTTAAAACGTTAAGATGTTTTAGAACTGCAGTATATGATGATTCTATAATGTAGAATTTTTAGATAGCCTTACAACTGTGCTACTACATGATAATCATACAATGGTGTATTACACTAGCCTGGGTGCCATCCCCAGTAGTATATTCGCCAGCTCTATAACTGGGTCTGGACTTGAACACATATGTATCGTCTGGAGTCTGAATATTCGTTCAGATTTTGAACGAGCGCGCTGATTGGTCCTACTCGTCTAAGCCCTTTTTGGGGTATGTACATATTAGGTAAGGGCCGTTCGGACGTCCGAACGGCGACGTTAGCGTCCGTTCGAACGCCTTATCATCAACATGTCCGACGGCGAACCGAACGCTAAAGCGCACATGATATAGCCGTAGTCAGTCTTTCCGCGATAAATCATCAACATGGCTGACAACATGGTATGACAGCTCACGGAGGTTAATGTTGACCTCGCAATCACGTCCGTTTTGGACGATTTAGACGGAATATCGTCGCTCAAAAATGAGCAAAAAGATGCATTGAATAATTTCGTTCGTGATGTTTTGGGCGTCCTACCGGTAAAAAAAGAATGCACCGAGAAAAGGAACACTCGCGCGAAGATCTGTGTTTACAAAACAACAAACATCACTTGAATAATGCAGGCGCGCCATTGGCCGTCGCCTCTGAGGCTCAGCCAATCAAATGAAGCCCCGCTGCTCGGGCTAGCTCATTACGTGACGTCATCACCAATCGTTTTATATGTGTTCAAGTCCAGACCCAGTTATAGAGCTGGCGAATATACTACTGGGGATGGCACCCAGGCTAGTATTACACAGTTCCTAACATAAAATTGTGTGCACAGATGTGAAATTGATAAGATGAAATAAAAAAAAAATCATTGAATAACTCCTCTCTTTTTTGGTACTATTCAGTGTTCTACACACGTTTTATGTACATACAATGTAGATATCATTCCAACATGCATATAGATATTGCGTAAACTGACCTTTAGAGAACATTTTACTCTGAACAAAAGAAATCTAAACTTCTGCATCTTCAAAGCAAAATATTGTACATGTGTCAACAAATTATACACCTGTAAGAAAAGTACTCCACCTATGTTCAGCTACCCAATGCCTCAATCATAAGCAAGACAGAGTTTTTGTGAAAGTCGTATTGTACAACAATGTTAGAATTGTGACTAGGGGGCTTGTTACTACTACATGCATGTACCTCACCTTTTGCTATGCCCTTCAGGTCAATGTTGCAGAACCTGACAAGCCGGCCATCACTGGTTAGAATGGTCAAGTCATACGAATCTGGAGGGGGAAAGAGATAAAATGTATATGAACTGCATCATTTGATAGTGGAAGAACAGAATTATGACAAGTTTTCTTGTTCCAATCATCAACAGCCTTAGAAAAAAATGAATATTGTCTCAATTTTGGCAAAAAATGAAGGTGTCTCAATTTTGACAAAAAATGAAGGCGTCTCAATTTTGACAAAAAATGAAGGCGTCTCAATTTTGACAAAAAATGAAGGTGTCTCAATTTTGACAAAAAAATGAAGGTGTCTCAATTTTGACAAAAAATGAAGATGTCTCAATTTTGACAAAAAATGAAGGTGTCTCAATTTTGACAAAAAATGAAGGTGTCTCAGTTTTGACAAAAAATGAAGATGTCTCAATTTTGACAAAAAATGAAGGTGTCTCAATTTTGACAAAAAATGAAGATGTCTTAATTTTGACAAAAAATGAAGGTGTCTCAATTTTGACAAAAAATGAAGATGTCTCAATTTTGACAAAAAATGAAGATGTCTCAATTTTGACAAAAAATGAAGGTGTCTCAATTTTGACAAAAAAAGAAGGTGTCTCAATTTTGACAGAGTGGGTGCAAATTTAATGATTTTCCAAGAGCATATAGTATTACATGTATTTACGTACCATGTTCTACAGATGAGGTGATCTCTAGCCCACAGAAAGCCTTTCCGTTCACAGGCTGCAGATCTGGAACCAAACTCTGCAGGCAAAACACCAACATTTTATTCTTAAATCTTCTATCAAAAGTTCACCATGTGTTACATACCGGAAACAATGTCTTAAACTCAAAGCCAGATATGAACTTGAATTTGCTTTTGGGACGGAAGTATTGTATTTTGGTCATGCTATTATTAGGGTCTTTGTGTGAATCTTTGTACAGCAAAGGTACATGAATTTTCTGACAGTTTAAATATTAAATATAAAATATTTCAACATATTATTACAATAACTCACTTTTTTTGTTTTTGCACCACCATATATAACCGGTCATGCCAGGGCATTGACCCTCTGGACGTTATACCCCAAGAGGGGCATTGTCCAGTATTGTGTAAGAAGTTTCAAAATTTTTAAGCATATGTTGTATACTAGTGTACAATACATTGCTTGTAAGGTGCACAGTCATAGTAAAAAATCAGGTACACAATTCCAATTTTTGGTGCACAAAAATATTTCAAGCCCTGCAGATAATGTTTATCTCTATATTAATTACTAAGTCTATACAATGAGAATGTCCTGACCTCAGAAAACAGCAGAGTCTGTGTGTTAGTCTCCATCATGTGCAGAGTCCCTGAGCTTTCTCCTATCAGTAGGAACAGGGAGTCCTGGCTACAAACCACTGCATCCACTGCCGACCCTAATGTACAGCAACATCAACATATTACAGGTACATGTACAGTCAAACGTGTCTGAGACAACCACTGCGACGTGGTTTTGTGCGCGTGAAAAATGTGTGTCTGAAAAACTTGCGTGTGAAAATATGCTATTACCAAGGGATTTGAAAACTTTTTTGCTGTTTTAGACGAAATTTAGGTGAAATAAAGTCATAAAATAAAATTATCAAACTGTTATATTGTAGACTACATAGCCTTGTTTTGTCAATTTTTTAGTGATTTTAAGTTGTCCCATGCAAAAAAGTTTGAAATTTGTGCATGAAAAAAATGTTTGAGGTACATGTAATATGAAACAGTTAATGAAAAATTTTGAAAATTGAACCTTCTGAAATGGCATTTTCTGCATTTTTGAGAGAGTTTCAAAGGAGAGTCAGACAACTTTTTATCAGTTTTTTTACAATTCCAACCCCGCTGGTGATACGAATCAGGCCATCTTTTACAGAAAAATCTTGGACTTTTAGGTAAAAAGTGGACCTTTGAGCCTTGTGTGGTTACGGGGCTTGATGTGCAACAATATTATGATGAAAGCTAAAACCAGACTTTACCATAGGTGAGAGTGATCAAGTGATCATCACATGTCTCTGTGAACAGGGAGACTTGACAGTCTGCCACCAGACACAGTCCCAGCTGTGAACAGGCTGCATACAGGCGGGGGTTCTTTGTCACCTGTAAAAGACATTTGTCACTTCCTTTAACTTACATATTACACAATACTACAGTATTAGTTTATCTTCCCTCAGTTGATACATTTGTGAAATTCTAAAGTACTAGAAATCTCGAAAGAAACTACCGTAATTTAACAATTGAAGCTTGTCACACATTCAGAACCACTTGCCTGGAGTTTGGGAGCAGTCTCAGATTTACCCAGTGGTAGAAATACTTTTTTTGAATGTTCTGCAATATTTCAGATGGCTCAAAAATTTTGTTCTGCAATTTGAAAACCCTTTGTACACAAGCCTTCATACTACAACCTTCTCAACCTAATAATGCAAAATTGCAGGTTGTATGATTTTTCTTCTGCAATTTTGAAAATTACTCTGCAAAATGCAGATGGGTATTTCAAACACTGCTACCTATGCTGATAAAATCAACTTTGAATTAAATTTGAGTCAAATTTAACCCCTGAACACGCCCCGGCACTGCTGACCTACTCCAAACGATCAGCCAACCAGTCCCCAACTATGGTGGACGAACTTAAGTTTTTACCAGACTAACTACCCTGGTTATATAAAGGAGTATATTTGCCAGGGGAGTTAGGCCGCCTTGGGGTTTGACTGGAAAGAAACAACCTTCCGCAGACTGATTTGTTGAGCTAATCGACCTTTTCTAGCTTCATGATCTGTCTGACACCTGAGTGATGAAAGTGAAACACCGTACAATCAGTTTTCCAACATGTAACATTACAGTCAGTTTTCCTCATGCAAGTTTCACTTGTTAAACTGTATAGTAAATTAAGTTGGATCTCTAGAGGTCGCCAAAGTAAAAAAAAAAGAAAAGAAAGAAAACCCCTACCCACTACTACCGACCCTAATTTTTTCAGAACTGAAACAGGAAACACAACATTTTTCCTAGGCCTCCGGGTGAGTGTTCGCCAGGCCATATTCAAATTATGTGTGACAGCTTCACATAACTTTACCTGTCCACTGTTGGACACAGTGGCGAGTGTGTCAACCTGGTACAGTCCAGGGCCGGTCTCATTGCGCTGACCAAAGTTTGCAGTCTCGTCTCCTCCAATACCAACTTCTATGTCATCCCAGGGCATGGTGTCCCGTCTTTTATCTTGTCAAAACTATGTGACAACTACAAGGCAAAGGTAAATCTGTCATCTTCAAGTGATACTACAAAATGCAACAAAATCTTCAAATTATGATGCAGCTTATTGCAAGATCATGCAAAAGACCTGGAAGTGCTCTATTTTACATAAATATTGTACACGTGTAACACATATTGAATTTGCTAACACATCATAGTTATTGATCATTAAAAATATGAGAGATAGCATATCATGACAAAATATTTCACCTACAAGGGAATAATTCCATCCCTTTTCAACAACAAAAAAAAAAACCGCACCTACACTTCAAATCCATCAAACTTTCTTTGGAGACAAGTTGGTATAGGATTCAAAGACACGTGGTGCTAGTACTACTAGTACATTTTGATAAAATTATTAGATACTCTTCTATCAAGAAGGTCTGCATGGGGGTATCCGACAACACTAAATTTAAAAGGACCAAATATAATGCTTAGCGGAAAATTGACTTGTTCAAAACTATAATTTTGATGGACCGAAATAAATTATGCTAGGAAGGTGTCAGGACAACTCGGCCCCTGGAAGCACTAGAGTAGAGTAGAGTAGATCTTTCGTCTCGGTAGGAAGTTCTCTTCCACTGTGAGCCGCTCCTTGTAGTTTACTGCGTAGACATGGTCATCTTGTGGGGGTTGCTCAGTGCCCGGGGGTTGTACACTACTGGGTGGCTTCTCATGTGTTTATCTAGTCTATTTTTAAAACTGTTCACACTTGGGGCTGTTACCACCTCCTCGGGTAGACTGTTCCACCATGTCACGACGCTGTTGCTGTAGAAAAACAGCCTTTTGTTGCTGTTTACTGATCTTTTGTTCAGGCGTAGACTGTTCCCTCTTGTTCTTGTTTTTTCTTGTATCTTTGGTAGGCAACCCTCTGTGTCCAGCTTCCCATGAATGTATTTGTAAGTCATAATCATGTCCCCACGTATTCTTCTGTATACTAGTGTTGGGAACCTAAGCACCTTAAGTCTCTCCTCATATGGCAGGTTGTTTAGACCAGGCACCCTTTTACTTGCCCTTCTTTGTACGTTTTCTATTTGGTCGGCCTGCTTCCATTACTTACTACTAGAGTGACTCTGTACAGACAGAGGAGGACACTACAGGACGGAAACCCATACCCTAACACGTAGTAAGAACGTATGGAGACAGCAGAACCCGTAAAAATCCTATAAGAAACCAACATTTAGACTCGAAAAGTTACGTACCAAAATCTGCGCCAAAGTTTATCGTTTCCGAACTTCCCGCCTGACGGGACTTCCGGTTTTACTGCGCATGCGCTGGAATCGCTGAGGAATCCTGGGATATGTGGTCAAAGGTCAAGGATTTCGCGCCAATCTGCAGAATGTAAACAAACTTTGGGGGTAACGTGCTTCTGATTCTTTGAATAGGCCTGTGTGTAGCCACATGACTGTTATTCTGGTTCCTCGGATGATTTGGGAAGGATATCTGTGAATTTGCCGGCCGGATTTATCGCTTGATGGTGATAATTGTTGTTCTACGTGTCGGACCACCAGGCCAGGCGCTGGGCCTTCACGTCCCCTGGGGCGCTACTTTGTTCAACCGGTCGACTGCGAAGAACTAATTTTACCAAGTACAGCGACTTCTCCACGCCCAAAACGAACGGCTTCAGCTGAGTGGGCGGGACCAGTGCCAGATCATACGAGAACTCAAGAAGTTTCGGTTTTCGTGACTCCTCAAGAGTTTGCCAACAACAAGAAGACAGTTTCACAAGTGTTGATGTCTTGTTCCTCCGGACGGCGCGGCTGTTGTTTTGTTTCTCTCGTATCCGGTAGATTTATTCACAAGACAGGGCGCCTGAGTTCAAGTCCGTATTCGTCAAACTTCACGGAGGATTTCCAGCGATTTATCTTGTACAAAAAAAGTTGTTCTGAACATACGTTATGGTCGTAGTTTTTGTGGGACGGACAGCTTATACGCCTGGAAGAATTCAAGGCGCAATCGGACATGGCGTGGTTTCTACATTCTTTCTTGATCACCACAGTCCTGGTATCACAGTGTACAGGTATTAAAGCTTTTCCTGTGTCATTACGATAACTTTGACACGTTCTTTCCCTACTTTGTTGTATTGATGATTTCAGCTATTATTGCTCAGATGCCTTCCAGAGACCACAATCACAATAGTCTATAGCCAACGTTCATAAATTTTTTTTGCTTTCTTGATGATGAGTTATGGAAATTAATCTTTGATTTTTGTTTTACTTTCAACCAAGAAGTGTAGATTATTATACGATGGGATCCAGTTGCTTTAAGACAAATTATACTTTCTTTTTTTAATACGTTTATTGCACATTTCTAATGTAATTATAATAATAACAATGATTAAAATAAAAACATACTCTACATTACATCACAGTACACAAGTTTAACCGGCCATTCCTCCTGGCTTTTTGGCTAGGATTAGTTCCCTAGGTTTTTTTTGGCCTTTTTTGTACAGGGGTGTTTTATCCCACTTGGATTTTATGTGCCAGGACTTCAATGCAGGAATGTCTTTCCCGAGTTTATCAAAATTATATTTTCTGTCAGTTAAGGATTAGGTTATCATTTTCTTCTTCCTTTTCTCGCCAGCTCTGCAATTCACAACACATCCACAGAGAAGGGAGGTGACAGCAGGTAACCCCACCACTTTTGTCTGCGGAGTACAGGACACTTCTGTCAACCCTCAGGTAGTTTGTTTGTTTGTTTGTTTGTTTGAGGATCTCCATTAATGTGAATTTCCCACTACTCTTCCTGGAGTCCGTAGTATCAGATAAGTATTTGGACCATCGTCGCACACTGGGGCATGCACCTACTCTTTTTTGAAAGGTGTGGTGGGTTCTTTAACATGCGTACAGTGTGGCTCTCCCCAAACATGGGGCCTCCATTTAACGTCCTATCCGAGGGACGTCCCTAACCAAAGCTAGGCACTCATTTACACCTGAGTTAAGTGAGGAAATTCGTGTAAAAGGGCCTTTCCTAAGGGTACAAGATGGGTGACAAGGTGGGGTTCGAACCCGGGAACTCTTGGTTTCCGAGCTGAAGACGCTGCAAGTGTACTAAATAGTGTCAACCCACAGGTAGCCTGGCTGAAGGATGGGGAGGACCTACCACCTGGTAACCACTACGAGGTCGACACTGCCAACTACACCACAGCATTAACACTCAGTAGTCTGGAGTAAGTGCAATAAAAGTCTCCTTTGTAACCTGCAATAAATAGTTATCAGATTGCCGATCTTACGTTTTCTGCCAACAGCTTTATTTATGACGGTGTTTATTTGCTTTAAAGTTTAAACACTAGGTCAGCAAAGCTTGGATGGCTGAGTGGGTAGAGTGCTCGCATTGTGTTCAGTAGGTCCAGTGGGTCGTGAGTTCGATCCCCAGCCAAGTCATACCAAAGACATACTGCTTTCTCTGTGTAGCACTCGAGATCAGCACTTGGAAAAGTGTATGGGAGTTAAACACACACTACTACCAGTGGACTAGTCCCCTGGTATAGTGATTGCATTACTGTGTGGCCCAAGGGCTACAGAAACAGAGATGAGTGCTGCACTATGCACCATATGTAGGTGCAGGAAGAAAATTTGAAGCTAGTCCTAAGTAGTTTCATGAGATTGGTAAATCAAATCAACTTTATATGATACTTGTAGTTTTCTTAGCTTAGGCACACAACATGAGCAAATGTGCTTTGTCTTTGTCATATTGCATTGTGACATAATTATCACAACAATGCTGTGTTCTCAGTTGCGATGTTGATGGACAAACGCCACTTTTCTGAGCTGATCATGATTTTATTGTTCTTCCAGTTTCTCTCAGACAACCATAGCAGACAGAGGGTTCTACAGGTGTAAAGCATGGCACAGGGATGTGGTCATCTTCTCAGAGACAGCTCAACTGGTCGTCTTTGGTAATACCGAGTTCTTAAAGTTTGGCTTAATACATGTACATGTAAGTTATTGTACGTTGAAAGTTAGCAGTCTTTTCCAGTGTTGACAGTCAGTATCCTGATTGCCACAGTGTTCTATACTAGTAAATTGTATCACATTTGGGATTCAAACGTAAGATTACATGTAGCTATCAATTTTCATAGTTGATAAATAGCTTTTATTTGAACAATATTTGCTTCAATGCTATGTTAGAGACTCGATATTCATTTGTGGCTGTTCCATTCAAACATTAATGGGGTGTGGCAACAATTTTGTTAGAGTTGAGATACATCATTTTTTTCTTTAAATACCCCCTAAAACTTTTTTTTTGCTTCCCCCCAAAAAAGTATGACTTTGAAATAGCCGTGATGACCTCTTGAATGTTTTGCATGGAATGTCCTTTTTCTTCGTCACGAGTTGAGTATGAAAAATGCAAGCTGTAATCTTATCAGCATTGTTGGTTGCTGCAAATGCTGACTGTAAGAAACTGCTAGTTCCTTGCAGCTGAATAAAACATTATTTACGCAAGTGATGTTTCTAGGCATTGTCAAGGAAGTTGGCAGGTTTCCAGGTCTCTCTGGAAACTAACCAGCGAAGCATTTACATCCTGTTGGTTGTGTAACAACATCACAGTATAACAAAGCTTACTGTATATTTGGTATGACGTAAACTATGACAATACAATTTCTGGTGAAGATTTTTGATATGATAAATATTATGCAATCTTGTCCTCTTACTCTTATTTAGAGATACATGCCTTTGACTGTTTGGAGCTAAGTTTCTTAGAGTTACAAACTTCTTACCTAAGGTCAAACCTGTACAAGTCACTCATACATTTTTGGTAGTCTCTTATAATAATAGTAATAGATAATTTTTCCCTTCGACACAAGCAACAAGAACCGAGTATAAAATCTGTCCAGTACATAGATCTGGTTCTGTCAGTCTCTAGAGTGTTTTTTGGCAGTTTTGACTATGTCAGTAATGGATTACACAATGCTTCCTGTTTCAGGTCCTCCGACCGTTACCAACCATCCGAGGTCCCTGAATGTGACCCCAAACACCCCATTCAGTCTACAGTGTGCGGGGGCGGGGCCTCCAGAGCCAGTCACCATCACCTGGTACAAGGATGGGGAGATCGTTGCAGTGGGCCTTCCCTCCCCATCTACATATTCTTTTGCAGGTAAATTTTGCTTCTCTCAGCTATGTTGACAACTTGATTTTGTTACCGATTTGCATATTTTGCACTCAGGGAAAGAGATATCATTCAGTGGAAATTAAAGGTACTGTTATTGAGTTCCTTATGATGTTGGTTTTTTCTTCATTGTATCTGTGTCATTTATATCTTTTCAGGTATAGAAATAAAATACCCCTGTGCTGAATATGGATCATCT